CATTCCTCTCAAGTCCCTCAGTGTCCTGCAGGTTACCTTCCCACAGAGGAAACCTGCAGAGTCCCTGAGGTTTTCTCAGTTTCCCCCTCATGGGTGGTCCCATGTTTCCCCAGCTGCCAGTGTTCCATAAAGGATGCCTCAGTGTCCACCCACCACCACCCACCAGTTTCACAAAAAGTAAAAGACCCAGTGACTGATATTGGAGTTCAAACTTCAAGCTGAAAATCAGAAAAACAAAGCAGCGAACCACTAGCTCTTATCCCTACCTCAGGCTGAATGGCCTAATCATGCTGCCTCTACTCAGCCTGGCTATAGAATCCTGAGACTGAATGTCTTCCAATCCTCAATATGGCTAGAGAATGAGTTTCAGGCTAGCCGGGTATAGCACCATTCTGCTTTGATGTTGCTGCCCAGTTACCTCAATGTCACAGTGACTTGCCTGGCACAGCTGGGGAAGAGCTGGGTTCAGGGTACTTGCAAGGTGGAGATGGGTACAGTAGGGTGTCAGCATCAAGGTCTCAAGGGACTCTCCTGACCACTCCCAAAAAACAAGGCCACTCTCTAATTAGTGGGACAGTGAGTCCACTCCTGGCTTAGAAGATGGACCCAATAATGGGTCAGCAGATTCTCAAACTCGGGATCACACCAGTCTTTCACAGACCAACACACTAACCCAATCACAACTTCTGTGCTGGCACTAAGGGGGCAGTCAGATCATTAGGAGCCAGTGGAGCTGACCATTACTGACTAGGAGGTGCACACAGAGAGACTGGTAGATAAGTCTATGAGCAGTAGTTGTCTACTCTATGTCAGGGCATCATTAGACTGGCCAATTACAGATCAGAAGGTCCACAGTGACTGGCAAATTACAGATCAGAAGGTCCACAGTGACTGGCAAGTCAGTCTGGGAATAGTAGGTTGTCCACTCCTTTTGTAAATAGTGCAGCATAGTCTTGAGTCAGCATATGAATTCCTGTCCAATAAGTGTCCATGACAAAGCCCATGCATTTGAGTGGCTTGAAAGCTCTTTTCTCTTTTGTTATGCTGTTAATTCTTTTGGTGGTTTTTTGGTTTCACTTTGTCAGTCATGCATGCAACAGCTGTAATTTTCTCTGGAAATTCCATTCTTTATCCTAAGATTCATCAGGAGGGCTAATGCTTGTCAAATTTCTTATCTGAAAGTACTAACTGCAACACCTAATGGGGAACTTTGCTGATTTGACAGAGGCAGTTAAAATTAATGGGCAATGCTTTCATAATTGTTCTAAAGAAAAGGAAGATAGCACCACCTTGTGGACAAAAGGAATCATTGACTGGTTGTGGTAGGAAGTAGGAGGAAACAACACAGGGAACATTAACCATGTCTCAGTGCTCAGAAGAAGATTAAGGTGATGCATACACAGAAAAGGGAAAAAGTATCAGGAATTCACATATGACAACTGTTGAGATTATGTTCCTTGGATACTAGGCATATACAATCAATGGTAGGATCTGGTACGTTACAAGAGGAAGAAAATGCAATATAAAAAAAAAAAGGAAAATGCAATACAAAATAGGGGAAGGACAGATTCACTTTTACCATACACGGGAGCTTATATTGGTGGAAGAATAGTATGATGGGATGGGAAAAGAGTGCCTTTTCAAAGTTTGCCCTTTATAGAAAGATTGAGATGAGTAGGACCCTATTGTAGACCAGCAAAGTATTTAAAAGCAGAGCTTACAGACACCAAAGAATTGTTGGGGTTCGAATATTGTTGTCCTTAAAGCAGGGTACCCATGTCTAATTACCTTTTAATTTTGTAACTGCAGGTAGCTGTCACCTGACATAAGTTCTGCAAGAATAGGATGTGCCTGGCTCAAGAATTAGTTAAGCCTGCAAAAACACAGAACTCTATGTTTAGAATGAGGTTATGTAGGGGGTGGGAAATGTGCTTGGGGAAGCATAAAGGGCAATGGCAGGACTTTTATGATGACTATGATGTAACTCTTAGAAATAAAAAATAAAAACCAATAATAAAAGTGTCCAAGTAAACCTGGTAGAAGAAGTTCTGGTAAAGTATAATCATGGCTCTAGCTATTCAGAGCCACTAGTGTGCAATCCATCTGGTGGTCAGATTCTTAATTTGCAACAACCGCCTTCCCCGTCTCAGGAACTGAACCCCAGCAAAAGCAGTACCACAGAGCACTTGAAAGGGTTCTGCATCACCCTATCAGCAGATCACCCTTTACAGATCAGGACGTGCATACATGGTGACTGGCAGATCAGTTTCTAAAGTAGGTCATTCATTCATATTACTGAATCAACACTCATGGCAGCAGTATGTTTGTGAAGGGACCAGAGAGGGGTAATCAGGCTCAGCTGTCTGTCAGTCTATAGTTCA